TGTACAGTTCCCACCATTAACACGGATATTTGTACAATTTAAATGACCTTCAGACTCTATGAATCTGGTGTATCGGAACTGGAATAAATGTTCATGTATATTAATGCTTCTGTTATATTTGTGTTTTTATTAGCATTTACTTTATTGGGTCGCCTTCAATAGGATTGTAAATACTGATTTTTTTTACAGCGGTTAAGGGCAGTTTTACAGCGGTTTAGATCGATTTTACAGCGGTTAAGACCGGTGTTACAGCGGTTAAGAGCGATTTACAATGATTAAGAGCGGTTTACAGGGGTTAAGAGCAGTTTACAGCGTTTTTGATATCCGTGACGAAGTCTGGAGATCGGGAAGCCAAACTTACGGAATCTGGATTGGTTTTCATAAGTGCAGAGTTGATCACCCCAAGTTAGGGTTTATAAGCGGGTCGTAATAACGCAACTAAAGGTACAAAATGGAGGCACTGAAGATGAGCTTACAGACCCATGGGGGAGAAAGAACAAATTTGAAAATCAATTAGTTGAATTTCTAGCACGACTCTTCTCTTGTATTTTCTCCTCTTGCGATGAAAGATTAACAAATAACTCACCAAGATACATTTGAAATTTATTTTGGGCTTTAGGCATACTAGAAGGGATTCAACTATAAACACACCATGTTGTACAAGATGTTTCAAAGTCATGTTGGTTTCTAGCCAGCATGTAAGGTGGAAGTTGTCTTCATCTCGATTATTTGCAGTACTCAGAAAATATGTCTCTGGTTCATGGCACAGGCGGCTGCCTGGATGTGCTATGGGGATGTCAAGTGAAGTTCAGAGCCGATAAATTTTACCAACCATCATTCGAACAGTGTTAGCCACTGGCAGGATGGTGACAAGCGACTCAACATCCCGAGATCTCACACCCGATGCCTGGGATTCTCGAAATTAGTTGACAAACTCCGCAGGAAACTATGGCTGAGAGTGCATGACACGTACGGATTCAGCAGACTGTTGAGTCGCCTGACAAGTCTGTATCTGGGTATACGAATCAGGCAAGGAGATCGTACGAAGCGGGTTTAAAGGCCTTGACAGTCCCATAGGCATCTTGTGTCAGATCTGGATGCTGAGTCGTTGTTCACCAATCATCTTCTCCATAACTCCATGTCCACTGACACTGGATTAATATTCCCGTTCATTTGTGGTGAAATGTGTTCCTCATATACGATACTTTCAACTTTAGGGGCACGCACGTCAGCTTGAGAACCCTGCAAAGTTAGCTCGATTGAAATACTCTTAAAAATATGTATATATTTTGGAGTGGATTTCGTGATATGAGAACATTAAATGTTCTCAGGTAACAGGTTACGTTAGTTGAAAAGGTTTTATATATATATATATATATATATATATATATATATATATATATATATATATATATATATATATATTGGCATATTTATGTTGTAAGCCTATTTAATTGATATGAATAAACAGTTAAACTTTTTCAGGATAAAATCTTTTGACATTCCTTGTTTACAGCTAATTTTTAACACTTGCTCGTGTTCACAATCTTGCTTGGGACATTGTGTAATGTTTGCATTAATGTCTAAATGTATCTAAACTAAACTAAAAGTAATGAATAATGTCTCTAAATGTCCATTTACATTTAATCCACAGGAGCATTTACTGACCATCCAGCAAGTCTTCATTAACCTGCTTGATACCTGGTTGATGGGGTTCTGGGAGTTCTTCTACTCCCCAAGTTTGGCCCGAGGCCAGGCTTGTCTTGTGAGAGTTTGGTTCACCAGGCTGTTGCTTGGAGCGGCCCGCAGGCCCACATTAGTCCAGGACTAATGAATATTTTCAGTGTATAGACATCGGGAAGTAGTACACCTCTGTGTATCTACTTGGGATTGGATATAGGGTTGGATACCAAATAGTTACGTGATTATCGGGGAAGTGTAAGGGTCTATATCAGTATATTCATGCTGAATATGCAGTATATTCTGTACTGTAGAATATATTACCATTTCAGCCCAATCTTGAATTCGCTTGCTAAAATTTATTGTAATGCGAACCTATAATTATTCGAATTTGTACGGTTTATGACTGATTTATACAAGTCGCACGAATCTAAATATATATTATATTTGATTATTGTGTACGAAAATGCCACGTATGTGTTTTACATCACGGTGTATTTATATACAATTATTATGTATTTTACGCTGCACACGAGGGATATATTCACACTCTTCTCGGTGTGTAAATAATGAGTTTACTTTAGTTCGGGACAATATGTAAAACTAGAGGATACTTGATTGTTGGTCAGTAAGCTAGTGTGTCCCTAATCATGAACAAATCCACATGGGCCGTGACGAGAATTCGAACCTGCGTCCGGGAGCATCCCAGACGCTGCCTTAAGGTGAAATGTTCATTTGATACATCACGTTATTGTGATTTCGGTGTGTAGTGTGTCCTCAATAACCCTCTCGTGATTGATTGGCCTTAAGCACACTTCATACCAAAGTTACGTTGACGCGCATATTTCGGTCATAAAATACAAACTTTTTTTAACCAAATTATTAAAATTATTGTATTTTCCATATCTTTTATTTGTATTTTTTTTTTGTTTGGCAAAAAAAGTACACTCATAGAGTATACCAAAAATAGATCTTGTAGCGTTTCGAATAAGGATTAAAAATCTAAGCAGAGAAAGTACAATAAATACATTCAAGAGAATTAGGAAAGTTTTGAAAATAACATTTGACTTACTTACCAATGTTATTTTCATTAGAGTTGTGCTTCTTGTTCCAGGTTAACTATTAAAACTCTACGTAAACTCCAGTCTGAAAGCTGATCTTGGAACTTCAAATCCATTAAAATGTTTGAGCATTTTCGTATTGACAAATGATTATCGTCGGAAAAAAAATAAAGAAATGCATGTTATCGGTTGGCTTCCAAATTTATTTTCATTATTAATTAATAAATCAATGCACATTGTATACATCAAGTATTTATTACGTGACGACTGTGATGCAAATGGAGAGCTCACGCGGCAGGCTACAAGTCCCGCAGAACGCGACAAAGCTTGGAATTCCGGTTGTGTTGCGCACTGAAATTTCATTTGGTGGCATGTCAGTTTATTCACATAGTGAACTAGGGAGAGGGGTTTCATCCAATCCATTGTGCGAATATTCGGTGCTGGCTGCAGCACTCACTGGTGGGCTGGTGAGTGTTGCTGGTTGCGACTCTTACTGGCCCACCAATATCATAAAAATTTCTCTCAGCAATTGGCAATACTATGCCATCATATACACAGGTAATTATCATAGTCAGCAACACCTAGTATTAAATTGGTTGTATTTTCTGGAGGAATGAACCACCGCTTGTATATCTTGCCTCTCAACTCCTTAATCTATTGGTGTATATTGACCAAACCACACACTAGAAAGTAAAGGGACGACGACGTTTCAGTCCGTCCTGGACTATTCTCAAGTCGATTGTGGCCGTCCTTACAATCGACTTGAGAATGGTCCAGGACGGACCGAAACGTCGTCGTCCCTTCACATTCCAGTGTGTGGCTTGGTGAACATATTTCAGCCAGTTATTGTGACTCCTCGTCTGCATATTGGTGTATAGGTTCAAGAGACTGTTTGGTTCTGTGGAAAGCCACTGGTAATACTCCTCCTTTCTGAGGTCACTCATCTTACTGTGACTACTTTCTGTTGCAGAGGAATACCTTTAGGCACTGGAGTACCGTCCTTGTCACTCCTGTCCGTTTTTTTCTATTTTGTGCAATCGTCTGTTGTGGGGTACTGTGTCGAAGGCTTTCTGACGTCAGACTAGAAATAAAAATGAATTTTGGAGAATTGATTTTTCAATTACCATCAACAGTGAAAAGAAATATAAGAAATATTGAGAAAATTCGTGTTAGAATTATTAATCTTACTTTTTCGGTTATATTTAATAATATATGTATATATATATATATATATATATATATATATATATATATATATATATATATATATATATATATATATATATATATATATATATATATATATATATATATATATATATATATATATATATATAAACTGTATTTTCCCTCACGCATAGGAAGGATGAATATTGACAAAAAAATCTCCTTTCCTTAATAGCAACAATATTTTACAAAGGCTATCAAATTAAAAAATAACCATAAAAACCCTCTGATTTAATGACTGTGTTGAATACTGCGGCCAACAATCCCTACAGGCTGGGGGGAGGGAGGTTGGGGGAGGTGAGATGCAACACGCACACCGTCAACAGACAACCGAGAGGCTGCCCAAATTACAATATTCCCCCTCCCATGGGCGATTAATCTCCGTCAGGGAGGGGTAGGTAGGTAGGTCGGGACAGGCAGCAGTGCAGGCGGCCAACACAACACTCTCAGCGGCTCCGGTATCATCCGGGGGCCAAGGAGACGAGGTGGTCAGGGTTTTTCTCGTGAATATCTGGGTTTTTGGCCTGTAAACAGGTTAAATATAATCTAGAATAGTAGGGTTGATTTGCTTTAAAGATGCTCTAGTGTGTGTGTGTGTTCAAAGGGTATTCTAGAGTTTGTGTGTTCTGAGGGTGCTCTAGTGTGTGTGTGTGTTCTGAGGGCTCTCTAGTGTGTGTGTGTTCTGAGGGTTCCCTAGTGTGTGTGTGTTCTGAGGGTTCTCTAGTGTGTGTGTATGTTCTGAGGGGGCTCTAGTGTGTGTGTGTTCTAAGGGTACTCTAGAGTTTGTGTTCTGAGGGTGCTCTAGTGTGTGTGTGTTCTAAGGGTACTCTAGAGTTTGTGTGTTCTGAGGGTGCTCTAGTGTGTGTGTGTTCTAAGGGTACTCTAGAGTTTGTGTTTTCTGAGGGTGCTCTAGTGTTTATGTGCCTGACTCATTGCTCGAACAAGCTGGGCTCAATTTAAGTCAATATTGTATGTATGTAAATCACCCCAATAATGTTATTTTTCAAGTGAGAGAAGACGGTATCATCTTACCTTGACTATCGTCTACTTGCTCCTAGCAGAGACATCGAAGTGAAACCTGAAGAAGAAGAAAGAAGATGGTTTCATCTCTGAAAGTTGGTATTTACATCACATAGTCAGTCAAACAGCGGTCAACAATGCCTGTCAATCATTAAATCAGATCATAATTCGTCAAAACAGACAGGCACCCACGTTTGGATGTCAGAGCCAGGCAGCTGTCGAATTAGTGTTCCGGACGGGAAGTCTGACTGTGGACCCACAGCCTCATGGCTCATTCCGGAGATTGTTGCCTGGGGACTCTATGTGGGACCCTGGGGATGGTGGAGGTGACGAGACGGACTAGACGAATGACAGAGAGAGAGAGAGAGAGAGAGAGAGAGAGAGAGAGAGAGAGAGAGAGAGAGAGAGAGAGAGAGAGAGAGAGAGAGAGAAATTGAGATGGAGCACGAGAGAGAGAGAAACTGAGCGGAGCACGAGAGAGAGAGAGAGAGAGAGAGAGAGAGAGAGAGAGAGAGAGAGAGAGAGAGAGAGAGAGAGAGAGAGAGAGAGAGAGAGAGAGAGAGAGAGAGAGAGAGGGAGAGAGACTAACAACCTCAAGGTTTGTAACACTAAATAAAGCAGAAAGATTCCCACCCGAACCAGAAGAATTAACAGGCAGAATTTTAATATATGTATTCCCTAGAACACAGATGAGATAATAATACTAACTTTTGGAACATATTAGAGGGACTGGTTCCAAAAATACACTCGAAAATAACACATGAGGCTAGAGGGCATGGCAGGAAATGCAAAATAGACTCGCTGAGTAGTAGGGGAACAGTAAGAAGGCTGAAAGAGAACTCTATCCACATCAAAAGCCCAAGATTTTCAACACACTCCCTCAAATCATAAAAGGAATAAACTTGATATATACATATAAAGGATACCTGATCAACCTGGCTGGTATTCGTACGTCAGGCTGCGAACACGAACAAATATAGAGAAAAACCAGAAATGTACTACAAGAAAGGTCCCAGATCTGAACCCTCAGTTGCACCGAAAGGCTGCAAGAACTCAACTTCACACCTTTGGAAGAGAGTAGGAACAGGTGAGATATGACAACAACATAGAGTGAAGAAAACTGACATAATGGACAAGAAGACAAAGGTAAAAGTTTTAAAAGGAAGGAGGAGAGGACACAGGAAGATCGGGTAGCGAAGATAAGCTTGGGGGCTGACAGACGACAGTCAGTGTCAAAGTTACAAGCAAGTGGAATGTTGGCTTTCAAGAGGGAATTATCGAGGCAGTCTCAAGAATGGAGGTGAAGAGAAGCATGAGTGGTGAAAGCAATTGCATTTTCTGACCAGTGGATGGAAAAGCTTGGGTTGGGAGCTGATGCTTGACCCGGTAAGTGCGCACACACACACACACACACACACACACACACACACACAAACAAACAAACACACACACATTTCCGGGTCTGGTAGCTGAGTGGACAGCGCGCGGGACTCGTAATCCGGTGACCGGGTTCGATGCCCGGCGCCGGCAGAAAAAAATGGGCAGAGTTTCCTTCACCCTGATGCCTTTGTTACCTAGCAGTAAATAGGTACCTAGGAGGTTGACAGCTGCTACGGGCTGCTTCTAGTGTGTGTGTTTGTGTGTATGTGTGTAAAAAAAAATAGTTAGTAGTTAGTAACAGTTGATTGATTGACAGTACAGAGGCTGGCCGAAAGAGCAGAGCTAAACCCCCGCAAGCCCAACTAGGTGAATACAACTAGGTGAATACAACTAGGTGAATACAGCTAGGTGAATACAACTAGGTGAATACAGCTAGGTGAATACAACTAGGTGAATACAGCTAGGTGAATACAGCTAGGTGAATACAGCTAGGTGAATACACCCAGTCAGCCAGCCAGCAGGTGCGTTCTGTGATATTCAGGAATACATAAACAAGAAAGTATTGGAATGTATGGAGAATATGAAGGAAATCGAGGAGAGGGAGAAGCGAAACGTGGCTGAAATTGTCAGGTTACAATGATATATTACATTATTAAGTGGAAATTCCCAGAGACGAAAAAGAAAGGGAGTAAGATAATTAAACAGGATTAAAAACAGGATTCGATCAGCAAGTGTAAGGGGGACATAGGATAGGAATCAGATAAGCAGAAGGCGTCAGAGATGATGTGAAGGGAGAACGATGAACGTGTAGGAAAGACAAAATGTCATTAACTGAAGAATCTCAAGGAAATAAAACTGGAAATTGTAAAAATAAATAAAGAAGGAGAAAACTTGGCGATGCAGAAGAAAGGGAGAACACTTAAGGAGTAAAGAGAAAGAGAACTTCAAGTTGGCTGGGAAAAGTTGAGGATGATACAAAAGGCTGAAAACACATACCCAAAAATATTTGGATGGGGAAACAAAGCATCAGTAAAAGTGAAAGGTTTGAAAGTAGTGACAAAAGGAAGTACGGATTATAAGTATTTCACACAACGGAAAACAGAAGTAGATAAAAACAGAAATAGATGAAAACAGAAATAGATAAAAACAGAACCAAACAGAATGTCTAACCTAAGCTTGAAACAGACTCTGAGAACTACTGTACGATCTGAAAATACAAGAGAGGATGCACTCACGTAGTCTAATTATATATTGAGTAAAGAGATACCTGTTACTATAATATTCTCTCAACAATAATAAACAGCAGGATCCCTCAGGGGCTGATGTTAACCCTCATATAATTTTCGGTACAGTGTAATTAGTGTAATTTAGTGTAATTTATTTTCAATTTTAGTGTAATTAAGTGTAATTTCAGTTACACACCAGAGTTTTCCCCACACACACTGCTGCTGCCCGGTGGTGCTAAGGAACTTGCTAACGTAACAGTGAATCAGGAAATCACCAGTGGTTTTCATGCCAGGTAAAGTGATTGTGGCTCTGAGTTTGATATTCATCAATTGTACAAAGAAATTTAGGCATGCCAATATTATATGATTTTTTTTTTAAGCCGTATTCAAGAGGAATGATAGATACACTTGATAGATGCATCCTCTCAGACATAGGTTCGAGCCCTCGTTACAGACCTTGTGGATTTGTTCGAATGATAGATACATGTAATTCTAAGGAAATCAACACTTTACAGAAGACGCTTATTCTTATTTTATTATTTATTTACATATATAGAAGAATGATACATTGGGTTTATGAGAGTACATAGCAATGATGTTTTTACATTCATGTAAAGCCACTAACACGCATAGCATTTCGGGCAGAAACGCTTGCCCGAAACACTTGCTGCAGCCTTCTAAGGTGAAGTTATTTAACTCTACCAATAATACGTTTTTGAGGAATTCTACAATGTTTTTTTTATTATTTTGGCTGTTAACCGCGAGGGTCCAGTAAAACATCTCACAAAGCACCTTGCAGCGTCCTGACTTTAGGTCAGATTTGAATAAGCATATGATTGTTGACATAGTGGTTAAACTTACTTGGAGCTACAGTAACGAAACCTTTCGTTGGCTGGGACAATTGCTTGACCAGGCTGGAACGAAAACTTTCGTCGGCTTGGACCATAGCTTGTTTTCGTCAGACGAAACAGTGCCGACAGAGCCCATCATTCACCATTCAAATGAGTTCTTAAGTGTAAGGAGCAAGTGAAATGAGCTAAGAGTGAAAAGTGAAATGAAATGGAAGTGAAATGAGTTACAATCCGATATCTTCCTTTATAATGTATAACTTTGCTAGGCAAGAAGGTTGTTTACATCATGGGCTTTAATGCCCTACGAGCCTCTGGAAGAGTAATTAGACCACAACAATTGCTTGCTAGCCAACCGGCAAGTGTACTTGGGAAATGAGCGTAGTCCAGTACTTAGGTGAACTCTCGGTGTATATTCATTGATGTAGAGGACTCAACTCTCAGTGTATACACGTTGATATGAGGGAATTCAACTCCCTCATATAGTATATATATGTACATAGTGTATATACACCGATGAAAGGGTTCACTTCTGTCTATATACACTGATGTAGGGTGTTCAGCTCTGTGTATATTCACTGATGTAAGGGGTTCAACTCCCAGTGTATATATCCCCTGATCTAAGAAATTCTTGATTCAATGAAGAATGTTACAAGCCTCTGGAACATATTCATTAAAATAGTTCTTTTATGTTCGCAGATGTTTAGTACTTTTCACACTTGTGTGGAACGTACTAAACATCTGCTCTTTCACTTGTATGAAACGTACTAAAAACACAAGTGAAACGTACTGCGTTTCACTTGTGTGAAACGTACTAAACATCTATTTGCTTGTGAAGCTGTATTTTATTTTTACACTATTCCATAACAACCAAATACAAATTTTCCATTGTTTTACCTTTGTCACACGCCTGTCTGTGCTTGACACTGTCATGACAAATGCAGCATATCAGGTTTTCCGCCTGATCTAATTAACATTTCCATGAACCTATTTTAATATATAATATTAGAAAAGATAGTATATAATATAATATAGTATATAACATTCTAATATAAAATATTAGAACATATATATATTTATAATATATAATATTTGAACATATATTTAATTTTAATAAACAATGTTAGAACATATGATATATATCTAGAAAAAGCTGTTTGAATTAACATGTTAACATTAATGAATACGTCTCTTTGGCTTAGGTTACCACTAGGCAGATCCTACCCTGAGGACAGCAGATATAATGCACATATTAACAGACTCCAGATATGCTAGTAAAATGGCTTTTCATAGAGAACTATTCAGACTGGTACCAAACATTCTAAATGATAATGCATTCAAGTACTTCTCATTATTTTTTCATGTTTTAATCATTCATAATCTCCACTGTCTCGTTCAGACTCGTCCGCACTGCTTCATTGTCTCGTTCATTCATCCTGTAAACTATGTACTATGTAAGAACCTTTTCGAATCCTTCGATTGCTACCGTTGTTCTACCTCCTCTATCCATCGATCGTAGTTCGTGCAGGAGAGGCGTTCAATCCTGCAGTCACCTGCCCCAGCGAGGTCGATCCTGATCATCACTGAGACGACCCACTGTCTTC